TATGTTGAGAATATAATTAATCAGTTGACAACAAAGTTTCAAAACTAGCTAATACAAGAAATGTTGAGCGCATGTAGATGAAAATCGAAAATTAAATGACCCTGAGTCGACTATGCCGACACGAGTAACCCAAATCTTTCGAAGTTGACAAAATGCTTCTTCGGCTCTCAAAAAAAGATAAGCATTCGAATTTAGTTTACAAAAAAAAAACAACACATGAAAGTCAATACAAAGGCGAAGTTGCGTTTTGCATCATTTGCAATACCGCATAAACAAAGAATTGCAATCTAGCAGACAGAAAATGATAGGAACGCCATTGAGTCGACAAAAACTTCAAAAATTTGTCTCGAATGATGCTCAGTTGAACGAAAATGCCAAAAAAAAATTTCTGGCGTTATTAATTTATTGAGAAACATTTGTTGAGCGCAAAAATTTTAGCCAAAAAGCAAAATTGTCATGAAAAATTTATGAAATTCTAAACTTATACGCAGAAACCGGAAAACTTTACAAATCTGTTTGTCTTTTCAAACGGCACAAAAAAAGATCAATCAGCCGATAAATCTAAACCGAAAAAATGAGGCCAAGTAAAGCCTAAAGCATAAAAAAGATATTAAAAAATTTACAAAAACTTAATTAAAACTAAAAGCACGTTGAATTGCAATGAAAATTGCTTACAGCGCGAAAAAAATAAGTGACGTCGCAACTAAGACAACAAACATAAGCAGAAAAACATAAGGCCAAAAATTTTTTGAAGCCGAATATTTCCCGTTGAAAAAATTCTGGCCAGTTTTGAATAGCGCAGTTGTTTTCTCTAGATCAAGTAAGTAAAAAAAACTAAGAAAAAATATTTTTTGAAAAAAAAACAAGCTATCTTAATATGACTCATCCGATTATGTTAAAAGAAAGTTGTTAACCAAAAAAATTCATCATCCTGATTTGATAACGCTTGCTAATCACAAACCTAATCATAAACAATATGTGTTTTTTTAATTACCGACATATTTCATGCATGCAAGATAAGTCATAATCATTTGTAGAAAAAATTGTTAAGCAAAAAATTCATCCTCATTGCAAAACGCTTGTTCTTGCAAGTGAAATCTGAACGGGAAATTAAATTGAACACTTGCTCAAAATCTGTTTGTTGCAGAGTGTGTTAATTATGGCGGGTGGTATTAATTGTGTAGAGGACCTTTGAGTTTAAAAAAACAGTTGTCATGGAAAATTTTGAGATGAACAGTTTTGAGGTAGTAAATTTTCACGTTTTCGCGCTTCTAACAACGTAGTGTGAAGCAACTGAACCGATATAACATATATCGGTTCTTTTTCACGCCACATATCAAAGTTTCTGTTTTCACCTTAACTCAACGTATTTTATGACAAAATGCTTGATGTTACGATGTAGATTATGAAATAAAAAACATTTCATAATCGTTAGTTTCATGCCTGAAGATTTTCCCCTGAAGATGAAAAACCAGACGACCAATATGGTCTTCAGCTTGACACCAAAAAAATTGCAGAAACAACATGTTCATCGTGCTCAAGATACTGATAAAAAGATACATAGAAAAGTATCTCAGAAAACGATAGTTGAAAAACTAAGTTTGTCTGGAGAAATCATACAACTCCACAACTTAATTATTCCGTCATTTTTTTCCGAAGTCAAAAAAAATGCAGCAAGAGTTGACTGCGTCAGAAGATTCTAGTACAGCAGCTGAATACTCTAGGTCCGAAAAACAATTTATAGCATTTCTAACACTGAGTCGAAGTGCAGCTTCTCACTTTTGCGATAAAAAAAAATCTGACAATTTCCAAAAGTAAGCTTCTGTAGCACCGGGATCTCATAGAAATAAGGTAATTTTTGATGGAGAGCTTTACAAACACAGCGTTTTTAGTCATTGAAAAAAAAAGCTGGAAAATGAGTTAAAGAAAATTGTTGTTTTTCTGGGCAAATCCTTGCAATTTTATAGAATGCATGTAGTCTGTAAATTTTTTCGATGCTAGCTAGCATCATGGTACACAGAGGGAAAACGGACTTTCACGCCTAAAGCAAAGTAGCACAAAGCTCTCATGGCAAAGTAGCCGACAAAAATGTGATAAAAATCAAAAGCAAAAAATTTGAAGCGGGAGCAAAGCCGACAAAAAACTTCCGCAGACCTTGAGATGAAAAAAGGATTGTTTTCATAAAGGCTCTTTAAACTTTAAAAAAAACTTAAAAAACCCTCGTCTGAATACACACGCCATAAAATCATTAAGTCACGCAATGTGAGTCTTCTAAGCCGTTGTTAATTTATTCGAAATTTTTTAGACCGAATAAATCGGAAAAAAAAGAAAAAACTGAAATTATAATAAACTAGAAATGGTTATATTATAAACAGTGTGAGAAAAAACAGTTCACTTTTTTCTTGGCATTTAGTTTTTGTTAATTAATTTCTATTTCGAGTTCAGTCTCTCGCTTCTTTTTATTTAGTTTTAATCAAGTTTGTGAGACATTTTTTGTTGGTGCGAATCGCCACCTATAGATCTTTACTCGAGGCTTTCTCAGGCCGATTGAATGTCTCTATTTAGTGAGTGATAAGTGCTAGAAAAGTCAAACAAAAAATTTATTGAAATTTCATTTTTCTATTATAGCGTGACTTATCAAGTATGACTGTTGAAAAAAAAGTAAGCTAAATAATTCCGTTACTTTTAATTGTTGTGCTAAAATTTAATTAGGTCAGCCCAACTGGCCGAAGCAAATAATTGAAATTAGATGAAAAAAGGATTGTTTTCATAAAGGCTCTTTAAACTTTAAAAAAAACTTAAAAAACCCTCGTCTGAACACACACGCCATAAAATCATTAAGTCACGCTATGTGAGTCTTCTAAGCCGTTGTTAATTTATTCGAAATTTTTTAGACCGAATAAATCGGAAAAAAAGAAAAAACTGAAATTATAATAAACTGGAAATGGTTATATTATAAACAGTGTGAGAAAAAACAGTTCACTTTTTTCTTGGCATTTAGTTTTTGTTAATTAATTTCTATTTCGAGTTCAGTCTCTCGCTTCTTTTTATTTAATTTTAATCAAGTTTGTGAGACATTTTTTGTTGGTGCGAATCGCCACCTATAGATCTTTACTCGAGGCTTTCTCAGGCCGATTGAATGTCTCTATTTAGTGAGTGATAAGTGCTAGAAAAGTCAAACAAAAAATTTATTGAAATTTCATTTTTCTATTATAGCGTGACTTATCAAGTATGACTGTTGAAAAAAAAGTAAGCTAAATAATTCCGTTACTTTTAATTGTTGTGCTAAAATTTAATTAGGTCAGCCCAACTGGCCGAAGCAAATAATTGAAATTAGAAAAGTAGAGTGATAAAAGCACTCAACATAAATTACGAAATCTCTATCAAAAAGCACTCGCAGAAATCTGGCAAAGATGCCATACTGCAAAACAATTACACAACCAACCCAAAAAAATTTGCAGTGCACGTTTCCAAACGAATACAACAAGGCGGCTCGTACCAGGGCGAAGCTCTGAATGTTCCGACTGCTATTTCAAATCTATGGACTAGTAATAACATGAAAAAAATGAATGGAATACAAAAAAACTAAAGATATATTTTTTAATTTATTTTTTTTTGTGAAAATCATCCTCCAAACGCCATATAGAATACAATAAAGTACAAATAAGCTTCCTTGAACGAATTTGGAACGATTTCTAAGACGGATTAAACCTCCGCTCACGCGTTAAAAGCGCGACATATGTCGCGCTTTAAATTTCCCAAATTGGCCAAAATGTCACTATTGAAACACGCGTATCTTTACGAAAAATGATCAAAAACGTAATATCTTTTTAAATATAAACTCAGTTCAACAATCAATACATTTTGAATGAAAAAAAATTCCGCCAAAAATGGCTATTTAAATAAATTTTTCTGAAGAAAAAAAACCACCCCGAGCACAGATATTCCGTTATTTTTGTTAGGAAAACCGGAACAAAAAGAGACGGCCTCTTCTTACAATTCTGAGAGGAGTATGAAAAATAATACACAAACCACATCTCCAAATGAAGCTTAAGTGTAAGAATGACTTGCGTGATAGATTTCGTTATATTCGCATCAAGTTTCAAGCGTTTATAATCGATTATACTAAAATTTCGATACTTACTAAATTTGATACAAAATTTATTTTCAGGAATTAGTAATCGATGACAAACTCTTTTTTAAGAATCAAATTATAAAACATTTTAATCAATAATAATTGATTATTAATTCATCTATTTTGTGATAAGACTATAATCGATTTTGATAAATTATAATTGATTATTTTCATCTCAATGTCTAATTCAAATGTAAGGCATAGAAAACCCATTATAATCAATCGATTATAATTCCTTTTCTTTCCCATTTTGTCTTTGACCTTGTATCTGAATTGCAGATATTTTATGCTTTTTGTAGACGTTGGTTTATGCGAAAAAAGAGAAAATTGTTTTTATAAGTTTTCGAATCATTTCAAATTTGTAACTTTTTAAATATTTTTTGTTTCTCCACTGAAGTTGTGTCATGAAGCACATTTTAAGTTGTTTTAATTACCAAAATATTAGCACTTTGCTTTGGTGTTATGATTTACTTAGAAAATTTATTTTTCACCTACAGCGGGAATCTTTCAACTAAAATGAAAGAATCTCTACAAAACGTTTGTTTCGTGGTAAATGTTTGTGTTCAAATTAACCAAAATGGGACAAAACGTCTCTCTATAAGAGATTTTGTTTTTGATCAAAAAATGATAACCCATGGGATTTAATTTAAAAATACTTTTGGTATTTTAAAAATACTTTTAAAATTACTTTTGGCAGTTAAGAGTTTTCGTGTCTTTCTCGAGCATGAGATTTAAAGCGAAATCTAGCCGGGACGATTGACCCCCGAATTGAGAATCAAAGAACGGTGATATCTATTCTGCATTTTGTCAAAGAATTGATTTCTCTGCTCTGTTTATTTTGACCAGAAAATGCATATCTGAAGCTTTCAAGCTAAAAGATGAAAGTTGATAATCTAAGAACACGCATGTGATTCATAATCAAAGCGCATCAATATTATTTAAACAAAAATTACTCAACAATAACTTTGAAAACTACATATTTGAACTGAACTTATTTTTTTTCAGCTAAGTTAGAAATATCATAGGTGATAGAAAATGACGACAACAGACGACGAATCGAGGAGTCTTCGGATCCAAGAAAAAGAGTCCGAATCGAAGTCTTCCTTTCAATCTTTGGCAGTACTCGTCGTGTTCAATTTACTCCTAGTTTTCACCGGAATGCATGTGACGAGTATAGGTCCATTCTTTCCGACGGAAGCTCGGGACAGGAATATTTCAGTTCCGACTATCGGACTCATTGTAGCAATACTGCAAGTATCACAGGGATTATTTGCCTTTTTATTTTTACTGACGATATCAGAACAGCAGAAAAACAAAGTAGCGTATATCGGTTTCGTATTATCGGGTACAATGTGTGTTCTATTCGGGGAATCATACAATTTAAACTCCAAAAATTGGTATGTTTTTGGTTGTTTCCTGACCAGAGTATTCATTGGAATGGGCGGAGCAGCTAAATGGGCAACAACTGCGCCGATTTTGATCCCGTTGTTCCCAGCAAGGGCGGGTGTAATTTTCAGCGGACTGGAAATATCTTTCAACTTTGGCATGATGATTGCACCCCCTCTTTGCAGCTGGCTTTACTCAATAGGGGGGTATACAATTCCTTTTGTTGTTATCGGATTTGCTGAGTTATGCGTTGGTTTTCTCTGTTTTATAGCCTCTAGGTCTATTAAAAAACCAGAACTGCTTCGTGAGTCCCAAACAGTTGCAAGTGGCTTTAACTTCAAGCCAGCAGTGCATTTCTTATCCCTACCAGGAGTTTGGGCAGTTACTTTTCCTTTTATGGCTGTTTTAGCCCAGTATGGGTTTTTGTCTGTGACTCTTGCAGTACATCTACTCGACACATTTAACCTCAACGGCTCTCAATCAGGTTACGTTTTTCTCATTCACGCAAGTATGGCCACCTTGACTTCTGTTTTCTATGGCTATTTGATTGACAAGGGGTACTCCAAAGTTACCTTCTTAGTTTGTCTGGCACTTACGGCTCTTGGATACTTTATTTTGGCGCTGCCATTCTTTGGATTTGACTATCCGCGCTGGACGTTATATGCAGGTGCAACAGAAATTACTTGACAAACCCTCTATTTACAAGCTTTTTTTGTAAAAATTAATTTGAACATTTTTCGAGGACAAGTGGCTTGAAACTATCAACAAGTTTCTTATTACAAATGCGAAGCCTTTAAAATCAGAGTCTGAATCCTTTTTCCTCAATCAGCGCCTTATACAAACTGAAAAAATACCAATAAAAAATTTTGTTGATTTGAAAATTCCAACATTCTTTCTTCGAAATCCGTTTTGACAAAGTTCTTGTCATACAATTTCCATACATTTTTTACATTCAAAAATTTAAGAAAAGTATGATAATTGTATGCTTGTTATTTTTAATATTAAAAATTTTTTTTTAAAAGTTCGTCATACTAACAGTTACTAGCATTTTTTAAATGACCAGCTTTTTTCAACCGTTGGCAATTTCTTAGTTAGATTTCTTTCAAATTTTGTGTTTGTTTCCAAACACAGTAAGCTGAAATAATACAGATTTGTCGATCACAACTTTAGAAAAAACATCCCCATTCATTGCTCTAGGTCAAACTTTATTTTTTTTCTAATTTTTAGAACAACAAAATTATGAGCCTTCGTCATGAAATACAAATAATTACCATTGGCGCAAAAAAAATCAGCTGAACATTTTTTGACCTTGTAATTTTTTGCGTAATTTTTAAAGAATTAAATATGGTATAGATTGAAAACAATCAAAAATCCAAACTTGATTGAAAAAACTAGTTTTGGACAAAAGTTTTAAATAATGAGTAAATGTTTTTTTTCAGCACGGCATTTATGTTGCGACAATATCAAAATTGTATGGAGATTTGTTTTATTTGAGTACAGAGTTGATTTTGCGACAATAACAAAATTTTATGGTTTATTTTTGTGTACAGAATTGATTTTGTGCCGTCAAAATTTTATAAGATTTTTTGAAAGATCAAAAAAGCAGTTTTGAGAATTATAATTGAAAAATCGTGAATAGAAAATGTATGACTAGCTTTTTTTCCACAACAAAAAAGTCATCAGCATGTTTTATGCAGATTTTAGAGTGGACAACACTGTTTAGATTAAAATATCTTGAGAAAAATAAAAAGAATTTAAAGTTTTTTTTATCAGAGATGTTATCATTTAAAAAATACAGGCCAAATAAAGAAATATTGTAGCGCGATCAATTATCAAAGACAGTTTATGTAGAATTGTATTACGATATTTCGTTAATAATTCCTTTTTTTTTTAATCCTTGAGGTTTTCATCAGAAAAATACTGGCCATGCAATACTCTAATGGAGATATTGTTGCGCGATCAATTTCCAAAGACAGTTTACGTAGAATTGTATTACGATATTTCGAAAATAATTGCCTGTTTTTTTATCCTTGAGGTTTTCATCTGAAAAATACTGGCCATGCAATTCTCTTATGGAGATATTGTTGCGCGATCAATTTCCAAAGACAGTTTACGTAGAATTGTATTACGATATTTCGTTAATGATTCCTTTTTTTTTAATCCTTGAGGTTTTCATCTGAAAAATACTGGCCATGCAATACTCTTATGGAGATATTGTTGCGCGATCAATTTCCAAAGACAGTTTACGTAGAATTGTATTACGATATTTCGAAAATAATTGCCTGTTTTTTTAATCCTTGAGGTTTTCATCTGAAAAATACTCACCATGCAATTCTCTTATGGAGATTTTGTAGCGCGATCAATTTCCAAAGACAGTTTATGTAGAATTGTATTACGATATTTCGAAAAAAAATTGCCTGTTTTTCAATTAATCCTAGAGGTTTTCATCTGAAAAATACTGGCCATGCAATTCTCTTATGGAGATTTTGTAGCGCGATCAATTATCAAAGACAAATTATGTAGAACTGTTTTACAATATTTCGAAAATAATTGCCTGTTTTTCAATTAATCCTTGAGGTTTTCATTTGAAAAATACTGGCCATGCAATTCTCTTATTGAGATTTTGTAGCGCGATCAATTTTCAAAGACGAATTATGTAGAATTGTATTACGATATTTCGATAAAAATTGCCTGTTTTTTTAATCCTTGAGGTTTTCATCGGAAAAATACTGACCATGCAATTCTCTTATGGAGATTTTGTAGCGCGATCAATTTCCAAAGACAGTTTATGTAGAATTGTATTATAATATTTCGAAAATAATTGCCTGTTTTTTTTAATCCTTGAGGTTTTCATCTGAAAAATACTGGCCATGCAATTCTCTTATGGAGATTTTGTAGCGCGATCAATTATCAAAGACAAAATTATGTAGAATTGTATAACAATATTTCGAAAATAATTGCCCTTTTTTCAATTAATCCTTGAGGTTTTCATTTGAAAAATACTGGCCATGCAATTCTCTTATTGAGATTTTGTAGCGCGATCAATTTTCAAAGACGAATTATGTAGAATTGTATTACGATATTTCGAAAAAAAATTGCCTGTTTTTCAATTAATCCTAGAGGTTTTCGTCTGAATAATACTGGCCATGCAATTCTCTTATGGAGATTTTGTAGCGCGATCAATTATTAAAGACAGTTTATGTAGAATTGCATTACGATATTTCGAAAATAATTGACTGTTTTTTAATCCTTGAGGTTTTCATCTGAAAAATACTGGCCATGCAATTCTCTTATGGAGATATTGTTGCGCGATCAATTTCCAAAGACAGTTTATGAAGTATTGTATTACGATATTTCGAAAATCTTTGCCTGTTTTTTTTTATTCCAGCCGTTATGATTCTGGTTCCGGCTTCTGACGAAAACTCTTTTGTTCAGTCATTTTTTGACGTTTTAACTAAGCTTTTTGGCCACTTTTTTGAAATTTAGTGATTCGCAGAGCTCAAATTTAAAAAGATATTTCATCTGTGATTTTTTTTGGTAAAGTTATGGGGCTTATTTTTTTTAGTTTCGCCAAGTTGGGATAATTTAGTGCACTATATTGCGCTCTTACTGCATGTGAAAGAGTTGGATAAATGCGTATAAATCCAATTGAGGCAAACAAGTAGGCCTTAAAGTGCAGTCGAAACATTCCGAGATGCGCCCTGATATGCGAGTAGCCTCGTCTAATCCAGTAAGATTTTCTCGAAAATTATCATCAAAGCATATTTATATGACAAGGTCAAGGGCATTTTATAGAAAAAATTATTTTGCTACATTTAATTAAAAAACAAATGCCTGCCTTATTTTAGGAGCTCATTTTTTTAAACATAACTCGCATAAATTACTGCTCAAGCTAGTTTTTTATCCGTTTGATTGGTGGCTAGTGTTAGCAGGCAGATTCTTTCTATGGTGCAGCGTTGAAAAGCTTTAGTTTTTAATCTGAATGTGGGAATCTCCAACTGGCTACTAAGCCGAAAACTGCTTTTTGACGCCCCTTTTCCGTAAACTGGAGAAATTTTTGTTACATTTTTAAGGCGATTCAGACCAAAATGGATGTTGCAAAAGAACTCGATGATTGAGGAGGAATTCCTGATTGTAATTAAGTTTCAGCAGTCTTGTCAAGTAAGTTTCTGATATCCCCTTGCTAGGTCTCATTGTTCTGGGCATATCATCTAACGGCGGATTTCTTCCTTGTTATTTTCTGTTCGATCTTATTGGAAAACGCAACAATTTTCCATCAGAAGAAAGTTTGAGATTGTGCATTTGCTCGTGGATTACAACATCCTATGGTATTGCGTTGATTTTCGGCCAATATGTGGTGGGGGGAGTGTTCTTCAACTATTTCGATTTCTACCAGTCAAGTCTGCTGCTGTCAGTTTTGACTCTCATTCCTGCAATTGCAGCAGGAATTTATATTGTGACATCTGACGTGAATCATAAACACCAGTACAACCCCATCTGAACACTATTTAGTTATCTATAGAAAGCTTTGATAGTTTGTAAAGGTTATACTATATTAAATTTTAACAATTTTCAACTTTTATCTAGACGCCACTTCCATAATTTCTACTTATTTACAACTATAAGTTTTTCGCAGAAAGAAACGAAACATATGCAGTTTCTAATATGAAGAATTTCAGAAAACTTAGTCGACTTTTTAAGGTCAGCCAATTGGAACTGTTTGGGCTCTGAAAAACTTAGACGGGTTCCCGTCTGAAAACTTTGAACAACAGATCTGAGGGTGGGCCAGATGCTACGTAAGGGTGGGAAGTTAGTTTCGGGATGAAATGACAGATATAGCGCGAGTACCGTTACTTAATCTGCATATATAAATGCCCAATCTAAAGTGGTTTTGTAAAAATTAAAGAAAAATTGCTTTTCGTTGCAAAATTATTCGAAAGTGATTTGATGTTGGACTAGTTGAGAAAATGGTGCTAACTTTTGGTGGCAAAAATCTGGAAAGCACAGTATCTGCTCGCAAAATTAAGAACAATTTGCAGGAAATGCTGTTAAAAATGAATTTTTCAAAAAATGAGTTTTTTACTTTTAATTGTTTGGGTGGTATTCAAATAGCAGAAGTTGCAGCAAAAACTACCGCAAAATTTCTAACAGATACAGTAACAAAAACTAGGAGTGAACTTTATGATTTATATCGCTCGTTCACAAGGGGTTCAGGGCAATTGCCGCATTTTTGGAAGTTCTTTTTTAACGAAACAAAAGGGATTTCTAATCAAGTAAATTGAATTTCTTCAATTTAAAAAATCAAACTTGGTTGCCTATATTATTCGACTTAGAAGTATAAATCACAGTTTGTTACCCAAAAATTATTTAGCTTACATAAATATCAGAGTCAACTTTGGGCTCCAACTGAACAATATTCCTTGTGAGTGAGGCAAAGTAAAGTAATGGCTAACTAGCTGCAAGCTTGGCTTTTAACCTTACAAAAGAAATGTTTTTAAAAAGTCTACAGTATTCCAAACGGTATTTGATTTTACGTATTTGACAGTTAAAAATTTGACAGTTTTGCATCAAAAAATGTAGCATGTGACGGTCTTCGAGGAAACAAAGCTTCAGTTTTGATTATCCTGTGGAAAGGGGCATCTGATCTAGTACTATATCTGCGGAACGTTTGCGCAGAGGAGTCTAGAGACTATCGGAAGTTTTTTCAAATTTTCAGAAATTCGTTTGCTGAGCAATTGATCACGAAAAAAACTTAAGATGTTTGAATACAATTATTTGCAAAACGCGTAGTGATATAACCAAAAATTATTTCGCCTAATTTTGTTGGATAAAACGTAGTTAAGAAAACTGTTCAATTTTTTGTTTGCCGTTATATAAAGAAAGAAGCAGTCCTTGGTCTAAGTTTTGTTCAACGTACGATGTAGAAAAAATTGAGACGGTAAAACTGCCGTAAAAATTTTCATCCGCTACAAACTGTTTCCTCAAGCATAGCCGGTTTTATTCAAATTGCATCAGCATTCTCCATCAATCAAAACTCCTGGAAAGTTACGCATTACCACTAGGTAGATCTTCCGTACACACAAAACCTTTTATTTTTTTCTAAAGCCATTTGTTTGCAAGAAGACGCATAGTTTGCACTAAGTTGCATTGATAGATGATTTGCTAGGAGAAACAATTTTCACTAAGTTGAATTGATAAGTAGTTTACTTTTGTAAAACGGTCATCTAAAACTGAAAATCAGCTTAAAATATTTTTAATCCACTCGGTTTGTTGTGCACCCTAAATATTGAAGCTTTTTCTCCTTTTAGGCTAACTTTACCCTGTAAGTCATTCACGTTAAGGTCATTTCTGTGAGGAAAAAACAATCGAAGGTCCCAGAATGAAATAAGGGCATACGTGAAGTTTCACAAAAGTGATTAACACTGATTTTTCAACTATTGATTTCTGTTTATCAAATAACTTTCCAAAAAAAACTTTTCCACCTAAAGCCATTTTTTTGAAAATTTTTTAAGCAAAATTTCATGGTGGACAGTGTTAAATGCTTTGCATAGATCTGTCATAAACTCGCCCTTAAATTTTTTTTCATAGGTTTTCGCACTGCGATTTTTGTGCCAGTGCATGATAACAAAAAAAAAATTATGAACCCAATTTTTTCAACAAAAAAATGGGTCTCACTTGAGCCGTGAAAGCTCTTAAGGTTTTCAATTCATTCAAAAAAATAACAAAAAAGCATTCAATAACAAATCACTTGTTCTTTCTAGGTAGCAGGTTAATTAACTGACAATCGAGTGGATCAGTTTAACCCCATCTTAGAAAAACTCAAGTAGTTTTGCTGGCTGAAATTTGTCAGGAAAATTTTCCAGGTCAATATGTTTGTTCCAGTAAGATCCTAGATCTTTGCTGATAGTTGGTGTGCACTCTTTATCAATTTGGTTGTTGTTTACTTATTTTCCACCGAATTGTAAGATTCCAGTTTTTTATAATTTTTTTTCTTGATACTGCTGGTGCAAATGTCGCTGAGTGAGAATGGAACATCAATGCACCGGTTTAGGTCCAACATATACCGAGTTTTTTGGTGTCATTTTTTGGTTGGAATTCTTATTTTATGGGAGGTGAGTCCTATGCTGATAGAATTTGTTTCTTTTAATGGGCCAGTCAGCGGTAAAAGAGAGAGACGAATCGTTGTAACTAGGGATCAGCACTACCATCGCCAAACAAATTTAGTAAGGCTGTTTTTCTTCTTAGCACATACCAAGCCAGAGTGTGGGTGAGAGCAGAAGCTAGTGAAACAGGTGGTCTGTGTTTTCTCTTTTAAAGGTGAAAGCAAACGATTATCAATACAGTCAAAAAATCACAACTAATCAACTGAAGCAAAAAAATTCCTAGCGAAACAAAATGTCAAATTAGAGCGGCAAGGTGCAACAAAGCAAGAAAAACCGATCAAGTTGAGTTTGAAAAAAGCTCTAAAACAACAAAAAACGTGTACAGCGTCGGATTTTGGTACCAAGTTGCAAACGATGAAGTCGACTTTCATAAAACTATGAAAAAGCCGCTAAAGCATAACCTCAAGTGCGTCGTTTTTGTGCCAACAAGGCGACCAAAATAACACTGTCAGCTACTGCGTTGATAAGCTGATGGACAATTCAGTACAAGAAAAACTTCATAAAAATCAGAAAAAAGTTCGGGTGCACGACCAAACAAAAGCAAAGGAAATAGTTATTCAGCTTCGAAGAAGCGAAGGCAAAGATAGCCCAAATAAAATCAATTTAAGCAGGGTTCAAGATGAATCGAATCTGAAATTACCTAAGCTGAAGGTGCCGGAGTAAAGTTGGATCCGCTTGAGCTGCTCGGCTCACGAGTTGTCAAACTCATTCCTAGCAACGGAAGATATTGGCATGGTAAAAGCAGGCCACTTCCCAAATTAAAGCAGCAATACTAAATTTAAACAGCAATCGCAATTATGGTTTATAGACAGAATTTTATTTAGTAGCTTACCAGGCAGCTGCTAGAAATTTTAGAAGACCTCATGTTCACTGTCGATGAGCAACAGAAAAAAAAACAAGGCCAAAAGTTATGAGACCATGAGATTTGGATCTTTTTAACTACATCTCCCCTCGGGAACCTAGTAAAAATACCCCCCCCCCCTATAAAAAAAAATCAACGGTTCAGCATATGGGAACCTGATCCAAACTGTATATTATTATTGGTTATAAATTAGATATTTTATCCCTATAAAATATTGAAGACTAACCAATCAGACTCCATCTAACTAACAACCCACTTATTTGTAAGTGCTGAAACTACTTGTAGTTTCAGCACCAGAGCATTCTGAATTTAACTTACAGCTTAGTTGCCTTTTCCAAGAGACCAACTTGTAACAAAAGATGAATTGAATCTTTCTTTTTGCATGCTTTGTGACAAAAAACCATATTCGTATGATTTGATGGCGATGCACACGTACCGCAAACAAGTTCAAGTTAAATTACTTAACGCTGCCTCTTCGATCTCGTAAGTATCAAGAATGTCTCTTAGGTTTCTCAATGACAATCTTAGTGACTCAGCTAGAGTTACACACACAGGGCGTGCTCAGTATTGATATAATGTCTAAAAAAATCAACGGTTCAGCATATGGGAATCTTATTCTTAGTAACCAATATCCCTCTTTTGCAAAAAAGGAATTTAGTTAAAGAGATCCCGTGATTTTTAGTCAATTTAAACAGTCTCTCATGTCTAGTCGAAATTTTGGAGTTATTTACGCAGTGCCAATATTTTGGAGATCTGATTTGTGCACGTCTTGCAAGAGCGCTGTCATATTGCGCCCACCCGATCGTACAGAGTGGAACCTGATCCAAACTGTATATTATTATTGGTTATAAATTAGATATTTTATCCCTATAAAATATTGAAGACTAACCAATCAGACTCCATCTAAATAACAACCCACTTATTTGTAAGTGCTGAAACTACTTGTAGTTTCAGCACCATAGCATTCTGAATTTAACTTACAGCTTAGTTGCCTTTTCCAAGAGACCAACTCGTAACAAAAGATGAATTGAATCTTTTTTTTTGCATGCTTTGTGACAAAAAACAATATTCGTATGATTTGATGGCGATGCTCACGTACCGCAAACAAGTTCAAGTTAAATTACTTAACGCTGCCTCTTCGATCTCGTAAGTATCAAGAATGTCTCCTAGGTTTCTCAATGACAATCTTAGTGACTCAGCTAGAGTTACACACACAGGGCCTGCTCGGTATTGATATAATGTATAAAAAAATCAACGGTTCAGCATAAGGGAATTTTATTCTTAGTAACCAATATCCCTCTTTTGCAAAAAAGGAATTTAGTTAAAGAGATCCCGTGATTTTTAGTCAATTTAAACAGTCTCTCATGTCTAGTCGAAATTTTGGAGTTATTTACGCAGTGCCAATATTTTGGAGATCTGATTTGTGCACGTCTTGCAAGAGCGCTGTCATATTGCGCCCACCCGATCGTACAGAGTGGAACCTGATCCAAACTGTATATTATTATTGGTTATAAATTAGATATTTTATCCCTATAAAATATTGAAGACTAACCAATCA